TGAAATACTTGTGTCTATTAGATCAACACATATATTACAGAAACCACGAATCAACCCTTGGAAACAGTTTTTTTCTGAATAGGTTCAACATGTTGGGGTTTTAATGAAAAATAATCATTTGTGTTACATCTTGAGTCAACATGTTGCAGATTTTGATGGCAGGAACCAAAAAAGAATATATGCACTGCAGTTGCTGAATTGGCTGGATCCACAATGAACAGACATCAGCTATGGTGTGTAAGATCAACATTTGAGGCTCACATTTCCATCAATGTCTGAAACTCTTCTGCTGATAAAGCCCAGAATCAAAGCCTCAAGTTTATTACATCTGAATGACTTCTGATTCTCTCAGCCTGATTTCAAACTTTCCGTCTCCTGATCTGTATTTTTCTCTTTTTTTTTTTTTACCACTGTAGTGGTCTAGAACTCAGTCATTTTTGCATTTCTTTCCTCATTTTTTAAGCAGAAGTTATTGGACTAGAACTTCATGAGAGTTTAGACATAGATCACTAACATGGAGAAGGAGAAACCGAAATGTTTCAGGTCCCGAGGGGAAAAGAAACCCACATAATCTAAAACCTCAGGAGAGGAAGCATTGCCCTTGTAGCCACGACTGATTCAGCACAATACTTGATCACCTGCACTAGTGAACGCGTGTAGGTAATCCAGTGTCGTCAGTGGTCCCTTGGGTAGGCGTTTAAAACTGAGCACTTGCTTATGCCTTGTACTCAGATAAAGGTCACTTCATCCCAGTTGCTTAACTTGCTGCTGCAAACAGTGTATGCCCCTCTGTATTGTGCCTGTAAGTCAACCATCGGTGAGGCCACCACTCAGAACTGGGATCCAGGCAATAACCTGTCAGGGGGTGCCTTCACTCCCCAGCTATTTGGGCCGTTGTTAAACTGGTGGACCGGGAACAACTTTCAGCCTGGTTTTGCACAGCAGTGTAATGGCACTGGGATGAGACATCCAAGTGGGCTCACCATTTTTGAGCAATTTCCCCTGGAAGGAGCCTCAGGCCATGGAGTGGAGGAGTACTTCGTGTGCTTCAGATGAGCACAGAACCGGGTCCCAGGGAACACACCATGGTGGGCACCCACTGCTATACCTACATACCACCATTTTTCAGCTCCCCGATGCTAATTTTCTCCTTGGTGTAGTAATGGTTTGTTTTTTCACTGCAATGGCACAGCTGCAGCAGCAAAAGTGGAGAACAGCCCCCTGCCAGGTCTAGAGGCAGTGGTGGCAGGGCAGGGCATTCCCCTCGGGAGGGTGAGAGCTGGGAATCCACATCTCTAAAGGGTAAGAGAGGCTGAATTTCCCATCCTCTCCCACTAAGCTTCTGCAATAAGACCTCCTCTGTCTAATTACTCATATTCATTCCTCTCAGGTTCCTGTTGCCAAAAATTATCTCAGGCTCTGAATCCAGTTTTCAGAGAGCGTGACCTACTTTACTCTTTAAAAGGAAGGGGTAGTTCAGGAAATGATTTAGAACTGTAGACCTTACGTGGCTGTCAGTGTTTTGTTACAAGCCTTGCAGGCAGGATTCCTTACTCACCCGTGCCCAGAGATTCCTGCTTAGTTCTCACTAGTTGCGTGCTCCACACCCATGCTTTAGGCAGCTCCTGCTCAGTGTGCTAACTCTATTCACAAGCATCCCAACCTTCTGTGTATTCTGAGTAGGAAAAAATCCAAAGCAGAGGACCCTGGATTTCATTTTGAGAATCCCTTACTGGATCTAGTGTTAAGAGAATACACATTTCACAGCACCTCCTAGAAAATGAGCATGCCATAACAGTGAAAGCTTAATGAAAGCAACCACCAGCTTGATGCTGAAAAGTGTTATTCACAACTATTTAGGAAAAAAGAGAGAAAATTTGTTTATGGCATGGCGTTTTTATCAACCTTTTTTACATACCTTCACACAATGGTATGTTGCATTAGCAGCGCAGACCAAGTTATTATTAGGCCAGCCATCCAAATCCGAATCCTCACCACAGATGCGTCCATCGCCAGCATAACCTGTCCTACATTCACATTTGTACATAGGATCACTGAAATGGCCCAGATAGATGCACTCTGCAGACTTATGGCAGCTGTGTGTCTTGTCCTTGCACGGATTCTCAGGTTCACAGATCTGTAACAGATAGAGCGTACTCACTGAAACCTGATGATATTTGCGGCCAGCTGTGTGTGCTTCAACTTTGTCAAAAATCGGGCCAGTTATTTAGATGCCTCAAGATAGGAACCTTGTTTTAATTGCGGTTAGTAAGTCATACTGCTCTGCCAGTTCACAACTCCAGACAACGCATACAATGAAAATAATTAAAACAAGCCACAGGAAAAACTGGACATTATTCAAAAAGCAATTGAAGTGATTAACATTTTCAGAACTCAGTCTGCTTTCTTCCAGATGTCATTAATCCCCAGAAATTAACGGCAACAGAAAGTAGACTGTACTCACCTCTTTCCTTTAGCATTCTGCCTGTCAGTATGCAAGGACTATCTTATTTTCTTAAATCGAAGAGACCCTAATGAATTCTCATGTTCCCCTCAAGTAAGTTTTTGTTACCTCTTTCTTATCAAGTTGCGTATTTTCATTGACAGTATCTCAGAATCTTACACAGATGTTTTACAGTTAGACTTCACATGTTGAACTAACCACAGATTGAGTCAACAGCAACAAAAAGAAGGCATCCCATGACATCCGTTTTAACATTTGTCTTGTCCATCAAACCACAGTCTTCAATATCACTTCCACTTCCTTCCGTCCTTCATGACTGATAGGTGTTGGCCCAATGGAATTTAGGGAGTGAGAACTTCAGACATATGTCTGGTGACACCCACGTTAACAGCATTATATTTATGGAAAGAACAATCCTCATGCTTCAGTTTCCAATCCCCAGAGCAGGTATATACACCTGAGAGAAAGGAGTGCAAAGCAGGGGAATGCTTGCTCCTGGCATTTTACACTCCTTTGGTGCAACTGTGCAGATGCCTAGAGAAAACAAAACCCTTAGAAAAAAAGAATCCCAAATTCAGCATTTTGTTACTTGAACCAAAAATAACCTGGAACAGTAGTTACCTATTTCAGGTTATCTTTGTTAGGTACCCAAGCTGATCACATGCTTTCATTCAGAGATATTTTCAGGTGAGAATTACTCGCTCTCAAAGCCCTCAAATTCTCTTCGACATCACTTACTTGCTTCTCTGTCTTGGCAACTTCCAGCCCTACCCCATAGGGCTGACTTCCTTTATAGCGTGGAGGACACGGCAAGCAGTGGAATCCTGGATTGGTGTTCACACAGCGATGGACCTGATTCACCTTAAAGCAAACATCTGACACAGCTATACACTGCAGGAAAAGAAAGAAAGAAGAAACCAATTAGATGGCTGTGTAATTCCCCAATAATGAAAATTTCACACTGATTTCCTGATGTTAATGCAAAAAAAGTCAATACCTCATCAAGATCCTCACAGACGGTACCATTGCCAAGGTAACCTGCCGGGCATGGCCCACATGACCAAGACCCATCTGGGTAACTGTTGCATTCTGCTCCAGGAAAGCAAGGATTTGACAAACACCCATCTAGCAAAGACACATGGGAGTGTAAACTAAGTTAGCAGCATAAAAGGCACGTAAAACTTCATTTGAGAAGCAGGTATTCTGTGTTCATTAGCTTAAATCACAGCTGATGCAACAGACCCTTATAAAAACCCTTAGAATTAGGCTAATTAAATGCATTTAGTATCCTATTCATTTAACATGAAAATATTACAGATTGCTACATCCAGTTGAATACCTTACAGCATGCTGACGCCCTGTTTAAGAAACGCATCCTTGTTCAGGAGAAGTCAGTAGTGAGAACATATATAAAATCCCACTGATCTAAACAGCACCCAAAATAGTTAAATGTGCTTTCCTGAAACAAAGGTATAATTAGTAGGTTTCTGTAGTGATAATGCATAATTATCCATTAAAGAAATAACAGCAATAATAATTATTCAGACTGAATAAGGAACGAGTAAATACCAACCAATTGGGCAATCCTTCTTATTGCACACATCATGTTGCTTGGTATCTCCCACACATGGCTTTCCTCCATACTGTGGCTCTGGACTGTTACAGAGGCGAGACCTCTCACGAATTCCTCCTCCACAGGTAACAGTGCAGGCAGACCATGGAGACCAAGGACCCCACTGGCCATTCACTAGGATATGCAGAAGAGAGGAGAAGAGCATCATGGGCAATATACTGAGGACAACATGTGGTGCCAGTGACAACCACTCTCTTCAGATCCCTGACTGGAGACAGCTTCTCACTACACACATAGGAAGAAACATGCTGGCAAAGCCTTACACTGCGATAGCAATATTTCAGAAACAAACAAGCAAATAAAAAATACCCAACTGCTTTATAGGCATTTTTTGGCCAATAATTCAAAACAACATGCCGTGGCCACTGGCGTGGTGTATTTCCATTTAAGTTGATCAGAACAAGTACGGTGCCTTCCAGACTCCCTACTGAGCTTTAATTTTGTACAGAAAGCAGGGTGTGATCACAGGACACAACCTTCTGCTCAGCCAAACCCAAGCTCTCTGGCTTTTTTTATGGCAACAGCATGCTCAGTAAGGTTCCAGCTATTATTCTTGTTTTGTTATCCATTCATCGGTGTATTTTCAATAGTAATGCTTGACTCAGTATAAATGACTTACTTCAATGACTCTTCTGCACATTTTATATTGGTACAACTCTACTAATCCTGTTGTCATCAATCCTGAATTTTCTTGAAATAAAAACATCTTTGAACCAAACTCTGTGTTTGGTAAAAAAACGTAAGGGCAATGGTGTGTGTCCTTACATAAATAACCTTTTCACTAACTTTGCATGCAAAGGTAGATGAAAAAATAGATGAAGTGTGTATAGCTATTTAAATACTATTGGGTTAGAAGCCCAACATCACTTTCAAGCTCATATCCCATAAGCAGAAAGGAAAGGCTGAACAGAAGAGGCAATGAAGAAGGATATACAGAGGGGAAAAAAGTGAAGAAAATTTATATAGAAAGAATTACAATAATAAATTGTGTTGAATATGTGTAAAATACATATGCATACTTTCAAAGAAACCTGGCTATTGGGGGACTGTATGTCTACTCCTAACACGTACAGTATCAGCTTCCTTTTAGACAGAAAGTGTTTATATTTTTGATATGCAGAAATAAAACACTAAGTTATAAAATTTCTCAAACTCTTAATGTTTAAAGCCAAATCATAACTTGGGAGGTTTACAAAACCTCCGACTGCATTGTTGTCTTCATTTTAAAAGCACTTTTGTGTGTTATTTCACCTCTAAGCTACAAATTATATTTTCCATCATAGAAATTCACTGCAATTTAAGTCTTAATGAAGAGAAGAAATTCAGCTGGAAGATTATTGCATCACCTTGCAATCAAAACCACAGACGTACCTGGACATGGAACCTTCTCACACTTCTCTGTTTCACGCCCGTTTCCCACACAGTTTTTCCCACCCATCTGGGGGATAGGGGAATTGCAGAGGCGGATGCGGGTGATATTTCCTACTCCGCAGGTAACTGAACAGGAAGACCAGGGAGACCAGTGACTCCAGCCACCATCTTGACGTACTGTCAGAAAAACAAGCAAGCCTCAGGGAAATAGCCCACCTGCAGCAGTAATACAAACTCACTTGTGAAGTTAACCTTCTAATAAGCCTCTCGCTGTATATCTGATGTATGTCCTATCTCCTTCCTACTACTGTCACTTACAAAGCCCAGCACATCAGCTCAGGCATTCTAGTACAGCTTGCTTAATCTCAGTGACCAACATACGACTAACATGGATGTTAGATATTTTACTTAAAAATAAACTTGTTCCAATGAAAAAACACTTGTTTAAAATGCACATTTGGAAATCTAGCAGCTTCATCAATAACCTTAGGTACTATATTACCCTGGATATAGCAGCTACCTGTAATAGTATTAACTACAGTTCTGGAGACAGAGTATGATCCTTCTAAGTGCCTTAAATATAAAAGCAGTTTGATATTTTGCAGACGTCTTCTATGATTACTGTATTCCTAAAGACTGCTAAGCTAACGGAATGGGCCAATAACCATGAGTGAATGGCAGATCAAAACGTGGCCCCACGCATCATGATTATGAACTGAGTGTTGCTGCCAAACTGACTTCAAACAAGAGACTCCAGTTCATAATGATAAAGATCATCCACTATCTTTTTGTTTAACAGAGCTGAGCAGAATGCACATACCTATCAAGTTGTCAGGAAAAGAAGAAATATTTGAAAGGAGGGAGATTCTTTGTCATTTGATTCTTTGGCAAAGAATTCTTGACAAAGATTCTTTGACAAAGAATCTAATGATAGCTACTTTAATTATGCATATATAAGTGTTCAAATACATACTGTCCTGGCTAGTGAGTGTTCATAGGAAATCCAGACTAAGCTTGTTTTTGCTTAGAGATGTCCAAAAAAGCTTTAAAAAAAATGGAGAAATTGTATTACTTACTGCGATGGTCACACTTCTTAAAGCTGCACATCCTTGTCTGGATGTGCGGGCCTGTACAAGCACTCCTGGTGACATCACACGACCTCCCTCGCATCTGAGTCCCAGAGCCACAGGTTACTGAACACTTTGTCCAATCTGACCACGGTGACCAGCCTTCCTCACTGTCATCAGCTGCAGAGCAAAAGGTAAGAAAAAGTGCTTAGCACTGAAAGTCGCTTTATTATCCTATTCAGAAGATTTTCATTTCTCTTTTTCTGTATAACACGTACTTTGCCCTTTAGGTTTCTCTTTCTAATTTCACTTTCCCAAGCTGCCACTGAAGTTAGGGAATTATGCATTAATGTAATGACAGCCAAGATAAGAATCCTGTATCTTCATGAACTTACACGCAGTGTGTTTGCACAAGGCGCTGACCTTTGGAGGAAGAACGTCTTATCTGTAGAATGGACTGAGCCAAAAACTCAAGTCCCAACTGCCTTTGACTTCAGAATATAGGTCAGTATGATGGGATGTGGCCCTACTTCTGAACACAACGTAACAGTGAACATAATCAAGAGCACATTGTAAGAATATGCCCTACGCTCTGAACAGGTAAAAGACCTTCAGAGTATATTCCAACGCATTTTTAGTTAGAAAATCAAGCAATCACCTTCTTCTGTAACAGACCTGTCTAGTACAGAGTGAAATGTACTGAACCCACACTGAAGTCACTTAATCAGTGAAACTATTAAAACTACTGTCACTCCAAAGTCTAGTTCAGAGCCCGCAATGCTGTCTTATATATGGAACAGATTGTCAAGGTTCATAAGTAAAGCATTACACCAAAAGAGGATATATGACAGAAGAAATAAAACAGAGTAACAGAACTTTTGATCTGGAACTTAAGCATCCTCCACAAGACAAGAAAACACCTTAACCTGTGTTAGTCTGTTTTAACCAGGCAGGATGGAAAAGAAACAGTAGTGCACAGTGCTATCGCAAGCCAACAAAAATCAGAATGTCCAGTCTTGGAAAACACAACTGGGGAGGAACATGCATCTAACCTTTAGTGTCCCACTTAGCTAGCAAAGTTATCAGCTTACTTCTAAGCAACCATTATAATCACTGAAGAGGGACCAACTCCTCCAGAAGGTAACTTCAAGCAGTCAAGTTATTTCATATGATCTTTGTATACATCTAAGTTTTATATTTGATCTTATCTGCCTTGATCTTTTACTTGTTTTGACCTTTCCAACACACTAGTAGTGTTTTTAAATATTGCCAAAGAGTATATTTCTCTTTGGCTAAGTACTCACAGTGAGAGCAGACTGGACAGCATTCACCTTCAACAAAAGATGGATCCGCACAGGAGACTGCTGGGCAGGTGATTTGATGGCACACAATTTTAGAATCCTACAGGCAAAAAAAAAAAACCCACTTACTGACTTACACTCACATACAGAGGCAAATAAAGGTGGGCATCTGGGGAAGTTTCATAGGTGTAAATTCTTTGATTTGTTCTAACCGTCATGGGCATGGGGACTACTTTTCATAAATATCAGTAAGTCCAGGCCAAGCTCTGAGTACATATGACCTGACCTGGAGAGCTGGGCTGGATTAAACCCACTATCCATTTCTGCAGAGAGGAAGAATGTTTCCAAAGCCTTACCTGGCAGGTGCACTTGGTGCAGCTATCTACAATCCAGCTTTCATTATCTGCAAAGACACGGCCATCCTGCCAGCAAACTGACTGGTTCTTCAGTGTTTTGTTAGGCCCAATCAGTTCCCACATAATTTGGTTCTCTTCAGACTAGAAGATGAAGTAAGTTAAAACAAATTGTGTACTTTGTAAGCAAATCGTTTTAAATAAACAAAAACCTGACACACCACTGGAATTAATTCTTCCATTAAAAAATGTGTATTTTTACATATTTATGTATATAAAGAGGAAGATCTCAGGCACTGCAATATTGCATGACAATTCTTCAGATAATAGTACAAACACAGTCACACAATGCTAAGGGAAATCTGTTCTTAGCAGGTTTGCTTTCCTCTAGAACAGCTCATCTTTAGATGGGAAGATTTTAGTCCTGAGACATATGACATAGTAATAAACCTCCTTCAGAAAAAATTAACCGATTCAGAATAAGAAGAGGGGCAGACTTCAGTAAACTGTCACCATCATACTTGAACTATGAAAATCCCATACATTTACAGTTTAGGTACCTTGTGTAGCCACTTGCTGATGTATTCATAAATGGTATAAGCATGGTAACAACGCTTTAACAGTACGCAGGCAAGGTTGCGTTTGTTAGCTTTCAATTTCCAAACCTGCAGTGAGCTTCAAGAGGATTGGTTTTCCCTCTGTATGAGTGCATGCGTGTGTGTTCTTTTAAATCCCATCTGTGAAAACCAAGCCTTCATTGAAGTGTTACACTCAAGAACTACCTTACTAGTCACTTTGAAAATGCAGGTCATCTGTACATCATGTAGATATACCAACAGGTATTCACATGTAATACAGAGATCTCTATGAACTGCCTTTGGTGTAAAACAAAGAAGGAAGGAGCGCTGCACAGCAGACCTCTCTCAGTTCTTCAGACGTACAGGTACCTACCACTTTTTGGAGGTTATCAGCTAAGTTGTTCACCACGATGCGCAGGCCGGTGAGCTCTGTGAACATCGTTCCCAGTTCTTCACAGGAGCGGTCACAGAACTCAGCCTTCTCTGGTTTCTTGCCCACATACTCGGTTGTGACAGCAGGGCTCAAGTGAAGGATTTCAGTGCTCTCGTTGATGGTGTTCACTTCAGCTGGTAGCAAGAGAGGGGAAGAGAAGAGCGGCATATACAAAGTTCTTCCACAGATTACAGATTCCTGGTGAAATCACAGACTGGCACCCATGGGTAGGGTTTAAACACATCTATTTGGGCACAGCTTCACGCTAGATTATACCCGTGAATAAAAGCGAGGGGTTAGATGTCAGCTGGTTCCAATTATAGGCTTTCCCTTTTCAAAATTAAGAGCCAAGCTGTGTCTCACATGGCCCTCGCTTTAAAACATTGTTGGCACTGCAACACATTAATTTATGGAGTAGGCATAACAAAAGGACACAGCATCAAAAAAGCAAACCCATTTCATCCACTCAGAGCCATGAAAGGTTTCAGATTTTGTCATGACCTATCCCATTTTCCCAATACACAGAAAAAGGCAGGAGAAAGAGCTTCCTTGCAGAAAGTCATTGTCCTTATTCTGTCCATAAATTCCATGGTTACTTGGATCAAATGTGGACCATTATGCAATTTATAGCAGACTCTGGGCTGCTCTACGTTGCGCTGCCTGGTGTTAAACTCAGAGGAGCCGTTGTAATGATAGTTTAGTTGTGAAGTGAACCGGAGGTCAAGATAAGATCAGGCTGAATATTCAATTTGTCACTCAGAACACTCCTCCATTAGGCAGATCGTAATTAAAACAGAACTTTGCATGCATTATACAGGGAGAACTGGACATGTTCTAATATAAGTTTAAAAGATCTCCTTGTCTATAGCAAATTTGTGAAAAGGAATATAACAGAAAGCATCAGTAATTAATAAAAAAAGAACACAGATAACTAAATAAAACAGTCTGTGTTCTGTTAAGCATTTAAATCTCCAAGTAATTATCTTATGGATTCCATGAAAGCTTTCTCTAAGGACTCCATGGTACACTCAAATTTGGTATCAGCTATACAGAAATCCGTATCGCCCTGTCTCTCAATAGACTTGTTTACCAGATTTAGTAATGCTGTAATAACTCAAGGTTACCGAACAGAAAGGAGAAGCAAAGGATGTAGCAATTTAAAAAGAAGAAATCAGACAGGAACATGTGCCCTAAAATATATGCTTCAAAACAGCTCAATACCATTCAGTGTTGACAAGTCACAGAAGGTGGCAACGCGTCAAAAATTGAGGGCTCGATTTGATGCTTGGTTATAGAATGTAAAGGGTTATATTTAAATGTGCAAGCAATGAAAATGGCAGCAAAGTATTCTTCATTCATTTAGAAGGCTAAAAATGAAAGAACAAAGAACCAACCCATAAGATGACATTAAATAATTACTTCTCAACCATACTTAAAATGACTGACCTGATGTGCTTTTAAATGAGCTATGAAGTATCTGCTGCTAGCCAAGGTCTACAAAAAATTGTTCGCAGTATTCCACAGTTGAAGTAATTGTCCAGCTTCACTTACAGGATGGGAGAAAGCCGGTACACCACATAGCAGATCAGAACTCTGTGTCATAACTATTTACTTCAGCTGCTTTTTGATTCCCTGGAAAGAATGTAATTTTCCTACCGCATTGAAACACTAGGTTTCTCAGATTCCCCCATAGCACTTCTCAGGTCATTAATTTCATATTTTTCAAGCCAACGTGGAGTGTGCCTTGACCGGAACATTCTGAGGACATTAATAAAGCTGCAATCTTGAAACATAAACCAAAACTATGTTAGAAGAACTAAATCCACACTTCCTACTGGTACTTGGCAGTGACTGAAAGAAGATGCCTGGGGATCACTGGGAAATCAGTTCTCCACTGCTGGCTTCCTGCTAATTTCCTAAGGACCACATGATTATCTTTAAAATGAGAAACCAGAAGAGCAGAATGTGCGTCCTTTCACATATGCAAATGTCATTCTGTTGATCTAGCTGAAGAAGGGATTTTATTGATGTGCCTATTTAGGCATGTTTTTGTCATCTCTCCTACCCAGCGCTGCGTATAAGTCCTGCCTAAAGTATTTGCAGCCACCACACTAGAGATACTTTCCTGCCCTCAACCCAACAGCAATCCCAAGCTACCATTTCACCATACCTCACATTCTCATGCTGGGTTTAAAGATACAGTAGGGAAACACAGTCCTGTCGCTGAAAAAGCAGCAGGCTTTTGGTGTCCTCAGAGCTGAGGGCACTTCACCGGTCACATCTCCCATGTTGTGATGGGACACTCACCTGTAAAAATGGCATCTTTGTGCCTGCACCTCAGCTCAACGGGTGAGCCATCAAAATGGGAAAATATGTATCTTGTGATCAGTAACGTATCGCCCATGGCTTTTCAACTGTGGTAATTTAGCTGGATAGACAATGCCAGAAAATCAGCCATGCACATAACAAGCCTCTCAAGTACTTCTGATGGCCTCAAGCCACAGTGTGCTACTAGCCCTCTTCTGTTGTTGCACGTGTAATTTCCATCTTGTAGTGTTCTCTTAGTCTTGCAAAGTAAAAGTAAAAATACTGTGAATTGAACTATTTGCTAAATACTTCAAGAACGATAAAACAAAAAAAACCCCATATCTGTATAATTTCTCAGACCTGAAAATTTGGTAGTTGACAGATTTGAAAAAATACATTAAGAAAATATTATCTGTTGGTTATAGCTGCAACAGCTGAAGGGTATAAGAATTCCTCCTAAGGTACGTATCAGCATGCAGAACTCCATTATCCCTTTAGGCTCCCATCAACTTCTTCATAGTACAAGTACAGTAACACCTCATTTCTACTTGTTGATATTTCAAAACATTTGGTCACACTATTTCACTTTGTGGTAATCAACCAATAATACTGTAAAAGAGTTGTAGACACTGTCTTTCGTTGGTTTTGCTGGTTCAATCTGTCTACACCTAGGGATCTCATCCTCTTGACTAAGACTGTTCCGCCTCTGATTGCTGAATGTTCCCTCAAGGTTCTACCTCGAACTCTGGGAATTTTGTTTCCGCTGGTAAAGGAAGCAGGCTAGTCAAACTGCATCCTTCCAGAAACCATCCTTCTCTTTTATTCAGATTGTAATTAGACATAAATACACATTCTATTCTCGCACAACAGTTCTGCTCCTCAAGCATCTTCTTCCACTAACAAAGTTGAAAAGTAGTAATCAGTAGTCCTGAGTAGTTTCTCAGTACAAAAAAGAGTTTGGCTAAGAGAGATGACAACCAACAAATGAGGGCACGTCTTCTTGCCTGTGCCATCTAAGGCCACTTCCATTCTAGCTCACATGACTCATTTCTAACACATCGTCATACTTGTGTCTGAGGTCCTGAACCAGAGCACACCTCTGGAATGCATGAAATAACCAACCAACATTCTTTATCAAGACTTAAAGACAGACTAGTGAGCTCAGTTAAATTTTTTTGTGCATATACATATATACAAATCCCTATATAGACATATACATACATATACACACATTTTTACATATCTATCTTATAGACACTTTTCATTACAAAAATCTCAATACTCTAGCCCCCTTTGAAGAAGTCAAGGCCTGCTACGGCTTCATTTCTCAGTTTTGCATAAACAAGGAAAAAAAGTTGAGTACAGTCTGTTTAACTGATTTGCTCCATGTCATATGCTTTAGTGAAGTGACAGAAATAACGGCATTTCAGATGGCAGGAGTTTCAAATAAAACCTTGAAGTCCTGACTGCCTTGTGCACCCACCACACTCCTCTGATGGACTCAGCTGTCTCTGATTCTTGACTGAGCTCTTGCCAGTTATAAACACTGGAAAGTAAAATAGCCAGTACCTCCCGTGAGCTCGAGTAGAAAACCTCAGTGCACACTTGACAAATTTTCCTAACTCTTTCATGATGAATCCAATACAGTCCCATACACAGAGGGCTCCCCTCCTGGTGAGGTCAGCATGAACTGGACTAACAAGGACACGTGTCAACCTGTGACATGCATATCTTCGATACCTCTTTGGTTTTTTTCTTATTTTCCTTGGTTGTTTTGATTAACAATGCTTTGGGATTCAAACCCAATTTTTTTTAGTCAACAAACTTACTGCTGAGGAATTCAGTGTCTTTAAGACATGCAGACTTGTTCATGGGCCCACCGAGAGTCAGGAGCAGAATTCAGAAGCAACATTACCAGTCTCGTGCTCAAAGAATCACAGACATCTCATGGAAGAATGCAGATATTTTCATCCATATGCATTTTTCCTTCTATTTCTATTGATTTCTTGCTTGACAGCTTTTCTCCCAACTTAAAAACAAAGGCTGAGAGTTATAAACCTAAGCAATAAGAACTAAAATAGTAGGCTAGAGAGTAGAAATGGTATCTCAAGATAGCTAAAAAATATGTTCCTATCACCACGAAAAAGCAACTAATTTTCATTTGCACTGCAAAGGGATCTGTTGCATGGGTTTAGGACAAAATGTCATCACTGACATTTCTCATTTTCAGAGTCAACTGAATGGTGTTAATGATGTAAAAAAGCCTTACTTGACTGGCTTCTCTGGCATCCTTTTTTGCGCAGAACATCCTCTATTGAAGTATCAAAGATTAACTGAATATTTTGCAAAAGACCCTGTAATAATAATAATAAAAAAGTAATTAAAAAACAGTTAGATCAATCTAGGAGTAACTAATAACTGATCTGTCTCAATCCTGTGCTACTGACCGGCTTCAGCCATAAGTAAATACGTAAAAAACAATCCACAAGACATTAAACCTGACACACACTAAAAAATGTGTTTATACTTTTGTTATATACAATTTCAATACTATAAGCAACAAAATCAGGTATGTTCTGAAAGAAGTCATAATAAAAGTTATTAATCAGCTATAAGCTCAAATCTCCATTTTCATAGTGCCCATTTTAGATTGTAGTTCTACAAGACATTTGTCATGAGGTCAAAGCCAACTTTCGAAGTTCCTGCCCCATCACACTTCCATCCTTAGCCAGTCATTCCCATGCACCATACTTCACTGCCGCCTCAATTGTGCTGACACTACCCTGAGACAACGCTATAAAACCAGACTGGTATCTGTTTCACTTAAAAAAAAAAAACCTCAAAGAAGAAAAAAATTACTTGACAACCAGATTCTTTCAGTGACCCACTTAACAGTACAGCTCCAGAACCAGTTCTATGAGCGCAACTGATGGAGAAACTTGGTCATGGAGGCAGGAATGGAGAGGCTGTGGGCAAGAACTTCTGGCTTCCCTGCCAAAACCGGCCACCCCATGGAACCACAGTCCAGCGTGTCATGCTCGGGCTGACAACTAGATGGCATAACAGGATGAGAAAGAAAGGGCTTTTTGAAATTTTTGAAGCCATGAGTTCAAGTTTGATTTCAGCTGTGAGTGAAAAGAAGCCATCCTTAAAGCACTCGGCCCAGATCACATCACTATATGAGGCAGGAGGTAATCTGCATTTTATAGGAAAACCAGAAAGTTTGTAACTGCTTCATGTTAAAACAAAAGAGGAACAATAAATCTTTTCCACAAAAAGAAAAAAAAAAATCTCATTTACAGGACTGATCAAAACATTTCATTCTAACTTTTTTCAATTTTTTTTTTTTAATTGAAACGAAGTTATTCAGAATCGCAAACCAAGATACTCTGTTAGACGATGGACCAACACCCAACACCACATGTGCTTCAGCTCCATTAAAAATTCTTCTTTTTCCTTCTTTTTTCAAATAAAGTCTAAAAATATTGACAAGCTCTTATGACTTGAATAGATATACTTCAATGGAAAAACAGTTCTTCAAGAAGTTTCAAAAAAATTTTACAAATCTCCGCAAAAATGCAAGATGCTTGGAAGTCTTACATCTGGCACAGAAAATGGATGGTTGCACAGAAATTCCATAAACTAGTTTTGTGCACTTTTCCTGGACCTAGACTTTGCTTTACCAGTCCTCTGCCTTCAGGAACCCCAAATTCACACAACACCAATCCAGCAATGAATAAAAACACACTCTGGAAAAATTGTGCTTGGGAACACCCATGACCCCATCAAATCCAAGAGGCTTTGGGAGAACAAAACTGCGCCTACGGCATCTTCTCAAACTACTTGCAGATACTCTTACCTCACCAGAGACCCGAGCTTCTCCAGGTTACCTACCCTGAAATGATTCTCCCGAATGGACCCTTTTGCCACATACATTCTGCTGTTCTCTGCTTTCAGCTGCTCATAGAAAGGCTCCTCCAGGATGAAGCTGTCAATAAGGTCACAGCCAACATAGAGGTTGTAGTTCTCCCCTGTTATTTGCACGGTGACGTTCTTCCACTGTGAGTCAGCGAGGTCCACGTCTTCCAGGGAAATCACGTTCTGGAAGCCATCCACCCAATAGATAAGGTCCAGGGTGTTGGCCCGGCCATTGGAAATGATCTCAAACTGCCTCTCACTGATGCCAGGACCCTCTAAAGCAAGGATAGTGCCTCTAGATTGCCTGTCCTGTCTCAGGGTGGCTGAAAGGATAAAGCCCTCATTCTGCCGTATGAGTTTGACAATCTTTTTTAATTTCTCTGGTTTACATGGAGGTATATGGTCAAACCGAATGAAACGATACGCTGGGATAGTGGGGTCTGGACCCCGAAACAATTTTGCTCCAACTGTCTTTCGGTTTATGTTACTGATTTGAAGTAAATCAAAGGTAGTCTCCGCTTCCTTGTCACCATCTGAAAAAGTTAACAGTGTGTGACAATGTGTCTACAAAAAGCTTTATAAGAAACAACTCTGCACACTATACGTAGTAACTGCAATTATATGACAGGTGTAAGGATCAGTAAAGTAAACCCAGTACGTTCCCCCTTCCACAAACAGAACTGTTCCTAGAAGCATGCAAGTGAATCGTCTTTTCCACCTGTCATTTTCATTTACATGACAACTCTCTCCTTCTATGTCTGTAGGTACAAATATGTTTGAATATATAACTAAATATATGGCTATATATTTTATAGCACTATATAATACACACTTGTGTGTATATACATACACATATGCTGTATGTTATGTATATGCCTATGCATAGATGCATGTAACAATGTATTCATTAAATATTCTTAGTATATATGAATGGATAAGGAGGTTGAGCCAATTTCTATATATTGGCTAATAAAAGTCAAATTACGAGAAGCCATGTGGCCACATGACAACAGGAAGCAAGAGATTTGCTTTATAAAGATTCAGGCCAAGAAGTCAGATGCAAATGAGGGTCTGGCACTGTGCCAATTTACATTCTACTTATATTTGGTCTGTAGAGGTCTATTTCGCTACCCCTGTCTTTAAAACGTTCACCCCACTCAGTGATTTTGTTTATGTTACTTTCACCATACATTTCCACTGCAGAGGAAAGTGTAACAGCAATTATTTCTGAGATTATACACATTTTGATCAATAAATCCTGAAGAAAGCAATTTGGGGATATTTATTGGGGAATCTTCATTTAGCAGTAGTGAGAAGTATCTACCAAAAATCCCCCCAGCAACCACTATTCCAGGCACTTCTAAAAAAACCATATATGATTACTTTGCCCACTGTAGCTCAAGTAAGCCAATGTTTTACACTACCTTTTAGCTTTGGGAGTTACTCTAGATGTAGTTAAAAAGTGTTAGAACTTACCCTGAGCATTTGAGGATACCCACAGGCTTATCAAGACAGCAAGCCACAACAGCCCACTCCTCTGCAGCATAACTCCTATGAATAAACCAAAAAGTAGTATTAGTGAAACAATAGTTATCAACTGCAAATATTTTAAATTTACCTCATGAAATGCCATAAACAGAACTCTCATTATAAAATCAGAATTTAGATCATGTCTGATACTTGTAATACTTATTCTGGGGTTATTCTTGATGCCAGAAATAAAACATGACATCCAGTGAAGGGAAGAGGAATTCTGGACAATAAAGCTCCTTTTTATATAAATGTCCTTAATAACAAAAAAGGAAAGTTGCACAGAATATATATGCTATTGTTTTCTCCGCACCATTTCAGCAGATGGCACAGGGACCACATGACACTACATGAGACACAGCACGTTAGTAGCTGCATCCTTACTTTGGAGCACCATGTTCAGCCGAAGTTCCATGTGGGATGATGGGATCTCCCTAGACCTTGGTCCTGAGTACTAGGGGCAGTTTTCAGTACCTTTATATATATATACACACATATATATATAATTTATCCGTTCTTACAATCCTCTTTACTCAACCACAGCTGAATAAAGTGACTTTTAACGTGATGCCATTTTTGCCCTGAAGCACTGTGCAGTTATAAGCCACGTAATTGCATCTCCGTATGTGCTGGCGCTCCCAATGAATGGAGCGGACGGCATTCACTGGGATGTGCAGACATTAATTTCTCTGCATGCAGCCATACCCCTTCGACACCGCTAACTCCACACATTTTGGTAAGGACTCGGCGATACCGCCTTTTACTGTTTATAGTCTCTTTTTCCTACAGGGAACTCTTATTACCCGTCACCCCGAGGTACGACGGCTACACAACCC